CAGGAGTTAATTTCCTGTCTGGATTTCAGAAAAGTTCCTGACCTGATAAAATTTAAAAGATTCACAGAGATCTAGTCTGTAAGCAAGTCCTCTTTCCTTTTCTTCATAAGTGAATGTATCAGTCAGGGTAGACTAGGCCATGCTGCTGTAACAAAAAAACCCAAACTCTAGTTGGTTCACTGCCACAACAATTTATTATTTCCCCTGCTCTGTGTTCTGACCCTTGCCAACAATGGCTAGCTCTGTCCAATGGCCTTTTTATTCAGGTTCTAGGATTGCTATGTAATGCAGTGCACACTGCAAGTCACAAAGCCACATGTGAAATCAATGGAAAAGGAAATAAGCATTCCTCCAGGCAGCAGTGACACACACAGTGAATGACTGTGCATCAACCCACATTGCTAATCATGAATTCTGAGACAGAAACAAGTTCGGCTGAGATGCCATTTTCCCACGGACTTTGTAGCCAGGTCTCTACAAAGTGTGAAAGAGGTACCACATCTCCAGCATAATTCTGATCCAATTCTGAAATCCCCCAATGGTAAAAACTTCATAGTCAATATTTCCCTCGTCTGAGAATGAGTGTCATGGTAGTATCTACCGGGAACTCTTTTAAGATAATGTATATGTCAGCACATGAATGTTCAGCTCAATGATTGGCAGCAGGTATATGATATACTGAGAATCAAAATAGCCTTCTCTTTATACTCTAGTCTATTTTACTACCCATAATATTCATCCTATTCCCTGTACCTCCATACTGTTTTTAAGAAGCATATAATGTTCTATAGTCCAAGTTTCCAAGTGTGCTTCCACGTGCTAGTTCCTATCCTAATAAACATGGATGTGGTGTCTATGTTAGAGACACTGCCAGCTCTTCCATGGAGCTATGCATAACCCTCTTCGGCCCATACAAGCTGCCTTCATTTCACCGGGAAAGGTAACTTTTACAAAATGGAAAAAGGAGAGCTGGATAGAGCAATGATTCCTTTGCCCAAACCATAGAACCAGTCAGTAGCAGAATAAGAAGCAGAACTCTCATTAGTCAGGAAACTCATTTACTTCACAGCTCCCCTGGGTCTCTATCTGGAGGACACTTCAGTCTGTTCCCACAGGCCAGAAAGATAGTCTCATTTTCTTCCTCAAGTCGGGGAGCAAGGAATAGCTGATCAAGAACACCACACAAACAAACAAACAAAAATGCCAACAAATGCTGACTCAGATGCCCTCCCCACCACAATAAGAAAAGGTAGTTGTACCCCCAGTGCAGTTCTCCCTTATTTACTTAGCATTCAGTTCAGTGATGGATAATATGCCTGAACTTGACTTTCATTTTTGAGCAGAGCTTCTGCTGATGGACAGGTCTCGTGCTCTGTGATTCGGCTTGTCCCCTTTTTCTGTCTTTATCTCGGGTATTTTCCTGTTCAGTCACAGAGTTGTCTGAGTGGCAGCTCACATACTCTTACCCTCACCCCTTTGACCTCATGCCACTTTTTAGATATTTTTGTTAAAGATGGTGATGATGATGAAGATGGTGATGATGATGATGATGATGATGATGATGATGATGATGATGACAATGATGACAATAGCTATAATAAAAATGTTAAAGAGGAAGGAGGGAAGACATCATTGAAAATAAAACATGAAGCTATGAGTGTCCCCTGCCTGCTCAGTAAGATCACGGCCCTGTCTACTATTCTCCCGAAGTGACGGTAGCAATGTACCCTGTACCTTGGAGTGACCAGCCTGTGTATTCGGGGAATAGTTATGAAGAGCAGTTGCATGTGGATATGGTACTGGGATGCTGTCATATTGGAGTGCCAGGACCCACAGCTTTTTCATAGACATGAGCATCAAAGCTTTGTTAGGCTGGGGCCCTAGCTGTACCTGTGATGTTTGATGGTGACATCTGTCTCAGCACTCGGGGACCCTCCTCCAAAAAAGCTGATTCTTTGATGCAGCAGCAGCTGGCTCCAGGTGAGCTCCAATAACCCATTAGTATCGGTCTTTCTTTTTTTTTTTGAAAAATCATTTTAAAACAGCTAATTCCTTGGCTCCCTTCACCTGGTAATTACAAATCAGAAGCTATCGTTATCTTGAAGCAACCATGATTACTTCTCATTTCCTGACCTCTGTATGGTGAAAATATGTCATTATTTGAGGCAATAGACTCTGGTCTCTTCAAGTAAGTGACCTACATATAACGGATAAACTGCAGGAGAAAATTAGGTGTTACCTCAATGGAAAGAGTATAGTAAATGTCACTTATTCTTATTAGTATTTATCATCTGGGGAAGTTGCGACCGTGGGCCTTGCCCCTCATGGAAATGCAGAGATGGAAAAATGTGGTTTGGAGGTAGAGAAGCCTGTGAGAAAAAAAAGCAGACACATACTTGGCCAGGTACCTTGCCACCTTCATCTGTAGCCATCAATCTAAGCTGTATTGTGTGAAGATAGGATTTAACCTTAATAGAATGCAGCCTGACTTTAAGTGGTGGTAGGCATGCAGAATTAATTGCTATGTGAACAATTTCCTAAGCATTGTTAATTGTGTTTCCTGTGGTTAATTGTTTCTCCCATCCCCACGTCAAACTCAGAACTTCTCCTGTCAACAGCCCCTTTCTCTCCTGCCGAGCTGTGAATGTGGCAACAGGCATCAACCTGTGCCCATTGAAATGCCAGACAGACAGGGCACAGTCATTGTTTGTGTGGGAAAATACAGGGAAATGGATTCCTTATTTATTTACAAATGAAGCATTTCTTAGATGAGGGCTTGGGAAGAACACAGGTGCTTCCCTCCCCTCAGTAACAATAAAACCAGGATCCATCGGGGATGGATGGTACATTGAGTTTTCTAAACTAACTGGGTCTCTGCACAAACTAAGTAACAAGACCAGAAAGCTGCCTGGAGGGTGAGGTATACATGGAAATCGACCTCTGAAAACATGTTTGTCTCCTGAGAGCAAGCACTTCTGGGCATCCCATCTCTGTCTCATTCCATACTTGGGAGAAACTGAATAATACTGTTAGTTTTGCTTTTTTTCTGGAAAAAGCTCTGTAAATATTACACACACACACACACACACACACACACACACACACACACACACACACAAACACACACAGGCACATTTCCACAATGTGCTAAGAGATAAGCAATTGTCATGAAGAGAGGGAGAAAGAAAGTTTGGCACAGTTAGACAGGCATGCTTCTAAGTGGGCCAGTGAGATTGGAGATACCTTTGGCTGTTTTGGCATTTTGGGGCCAGTCAAATGGGAGCATTGGAGCCTTGTTTTTGAAATGGACTCACATTTTGAGTAGCTGGGAGAACCCAGCCTTTGTCAGTGCACCTGTCTAAAACCAGGTGTGAAGACAAACAGGGAAATGATAGAGCAGCCCATCCTGAAAGATCAGACCTATGTGTTACCTCCCTCCTTCACTTCCCACAAGGGATGCTGCCCCTGAGGAGCAAAGGAGACAGAAGCTCTTGGACTGCCACTTTCTGTATTTAGCTAATCCTGGAGGCCTGGGGCAAGCCATTTTTGAACTGCAGTTTCCTTAAAAGGCAATTGCTTGGAAAAAGGCACCTGGCCCTCCCCCTTGACATTTGCATTGCTGAATTATCTATTCATATTTTCATTACTTTGTCTCTCCTGCAGCAATGCATCTGCTCGGACTCAATTGGCAACTCCAGCCGGCAGATGGACACACCTTTAACAATGGCGTAAGGACCGGCTTACCAGGAAACGATGATGTGGCAACAATGCCATCTGGAGGCAAAGGTGAGGTTACAGCTGCTGCTTGCCCTATTGAGGTCACAGGAAAATTCAGGGCTCTCGCCAGCTGCTTCAGGTTTTTTAATCCAAATCTTGGAAGGCATGTAAAAAAAATGAAAAAAAAAAAAGAAAGGGAAAGAAAAAAATGACTGCCTTTCATAGGTGCCCCGTTTAAAAGCTGTTTGCTGTTCCTGTCTGTTAGCTGTGTTTGGCTGGAGTCACTTGGATCTGGCACAGTGTCTGCTCCAAGCAGTGTGCATACCTATGCTATCTGCAGCAACTGGCACCTTGTGGCATGCTTGAAAACATCCCAAGGCCTAAACAGAAGCAGCAGCAACAGCAGCAGCTGGAGCAGCAGCGGCGGCAGCAGCAGCAGCAGCAGAAACCTGCCTAATCAGAAGGCAGGAAGCAGCTGGCAGTACACGCCACTAGCCTGGGTCCCTCTCCCACAAGGAGAGATACAGCCTCCCAGGGGAGTAGGCTCGCCTGGCTTGCCTTGAGAGAGACAGAGCTGTTCTGCTTTGGGGGAGAATAGAAAGGAGTTTTGACAACTCGGCAACAAAGCTTCCCTTTTCAGAACAGTGAGGAGGACAATAGAAATGTTCATTGAGGCAATCACTGTATTCTTGTAGGAGAGAAAAATAGGCGCTAACAAGGTGCTAAAAAAGAGGAGAGAAAATCAGAACCTTGGAGAGGTGGGGACAGGAGCAATTAAAAGACAAGAGCAGCCAATGGCACAGCTTGCAGGGCTGGCATTTGGTGATTTGGTAGCATTGGAGTAATTTGGGATGAAAATCACATAAGCCAGAGATTGTGTCAAAAGGACTTATCCAAACAGATTTTTTTCAGTCTATTCTTAGTCACCAGTATACACACACACACACACACACACACACACACACACACACACAACTTTTTAGAATACATCAAACAGGAACATTTTAAAAGAAAGAGAAAGAACCTTTATAGGGTATCTATTGTGTGCCCAGTACAGCATGGAGTAACTTCAGCTCTAAAAGCAGTAAATGCATCTCTGAAAAATTCAAGCCCACAATATTCTAGAAACTTCACCAAAGGAACCAGGACAGGTACAAAATTGAATTCATGTCTAAGCAATGTGCATCTTTGGACAGGAGGTTGGTTTTCCTTGTATCTCATGCTTTCTGCCAAGAAGACTCCAGGATTCCTCTGCCTCGGGTGGGTATGACTTACCCTGATATGCTAACAGTCTTGAAGTTGCTCTCCCAGAGCTGCCCTACACCTTCGGGTATGACTCCTGCCTTTTTATCCAGTCTTTAAGAATCACCCTTCTCATCTGTCATAATCATAGCAGTAAATTACCTTTAAGTAAGCATGAAAAAGTTTTATCTGAGGGTGAAATGATATGCTTTCCATTATTGAGTAGGTAAAACCAGGTCTCAAAATAAAGATCTTTCACTCTAACTGACCATGTTCTGTTTTAACTGACCACAGAAGCCCAGAGCCAAATTTATTGTCCTCGGATTTGAAATCTATTCACCTCCAGCACTTGACCCCACTCCTTCCCTTTTCCTTTACAACAGTGGCTCTCATTTTTTCCCCTTGGGAGACATTTGGCAATGACTGAAAAAGGTTTTTTTACTGTCACAATTGGAGGAGGTGTAACTAGTGGGTTAAGGCCAGGGGTACTGTTAAATGACCTACAGTATACTAGCTAGCCCCCTATCATGAGGAATCACCTCAGTGCAAGGTGCCAATAGGATGGCTCTCAGAAGCCCACCTTCAGGGAGTCTGCTACATTTTTCCATTATTATTTTTTAACATGAAGGCAACACCCCCTTCCTTTCAGGCAAATCAGCATGTACATTTGAAAGCAAAAATGCAGATTATCCCACCAGGCATGGGATGTGAAGACAGAAGTATTCTGAAGCTGTGCATGGATGCTTTTGAATTAGTAGCCTTCACCTTGGGACCCCCACAATCTTCACAGGCCTCCAGAAATGAAAATAGCCCCTTTTCCTTTTGTCCTTATGCTCCATTTCCCAGCCCCACACCACTTTAACATTCCACACCATCATGATCAGACAACTGAGGAAAACTCCTTTGAGAACAAGCCTAAGGAATATTTGTCTCTAAGGTGGAGGTTCTCAACCTTCCTAATGCTTCAACCCTTTAATACGGTTGTGGTGACCTCCCCACCATAAAATTATTTTCGTTGCTACTTCATAACTGTAATTTTGCTACTGTTATGAATCCTGAATGTAAATATTTTTGAAGATAGAGGTTTGTCGAAGAGGACTCAGCCCACATGTTGAGAACCATTGCTCTAAAGTAACAAATGGTCACGCCCTAAGCACCATGGGTTTTGCTCATTGGGTCTTTATTAAAAGGGTGAAATTTCAAAATTGCTTAAAAATGAAATAAAACTCAATACCTTTTCTTTCCAAATGCCAAAACAGTTCTCTGGCGATGACTGAAGGTACCGGATTGTCTCTTAGAGCTTAAATGAAGTCTTGGAAAGTGACAGGAAAGATTGTTAATGTCCTTGAGTGACTTGAGATTTGAATTTCTAGACCTAGTGACCTCCCCATTCCTCACTCACCAATTCTATACATTTAGATAACCCAAATCAATTCCCATCGACCACTTTCCCACTGTTTCAAAGAGACAATCAAGACATATTGGCAATAAGTTAATTAAATAACACCCCCTCAATTTTTTGTGGTATAGGATAATCCTTCACTCCGATGTTTTAATCAAGATTCACCACACATTGCCAGGGAGGTTAATCTTATTAAGCAATTACTGGGTAAGTATCCAGCAGGAGCAAATTAAAATGTAAGCAAAACACGAGCATGTGAGCCCCATCTAAGATGGTCTATCGATAGAGATTTCATTAGTTGGTCTTCAGGAGTATTTACATTGTGCAGGTTTGGGAAGGAGTCTAATAGACAGGACAGCCTCCACTCTCTGATATGATAGTGGAACAGAGCTCTCTATTCATTAGCTAGGAGGATGTATTCTTGGGGCTGTGTCTTCCTCTTCCTTTTCCATTTACTGATGTTCTTCGTGGTTTATTTTTCCTCCAATCTCTTTCAATTAAACCTTAATGTAGATGGTCTTGGGTTCCACATGGAGAAGAAGTTACACGTGCACTGCCAGAATCACTCACCATCTTGTGTGTATTTCTATGTTCAAAGGAATGAACTCATACATCTTCATTAGAGGGACACGGAGTGCTTTTGCTATAGATCTGGGATTAGATAAACCTTGAGAATGAAGATTCGATACAGTATTCTGACCTGGTCAGATAGCATAAAAGAATCCAGTTTGATTGCCTGTGCCCAGAAATAAGGTATACAAGAGCTTTACCAGGGCATGTCACTGGCTTTGGGTTTGTGTACTGATCTTAGGAAAGAATATAGCCTCAAGTAGAATTTCATGGATCATTCTCAAAATCCATCAGTCATTTTGTATTCCTAGTGTTCTCTGTGTCACTAAGGTTAGCAAACTATATCTCATGGACCAAATTTGGCTGACCACTCATCATGGATACAATCTCTCCTGGTGCATTGCCAGGTCCATAGGACTGTGGAGGCAAATGGGTGCCATATTTTCAATTTTACTCTTTAATAAAAAGAATGTTGATGGCTCTCCCATATCATTTCCAAACTCATTTCTACTTCTCTAGAACCTTTCCTGTACCCAAATTAAGGATTCCAAGATTGCAACACCTCTGTTTCTCTTTCTTCATCAAGCACTGGTAATGTAATCTTCATGACTTTCATTGAAAAATCCTGTAAATCAGTGTACAATACTGGCATTGATTTAGCTGGGCACAAACTCCAGCTACATCCTTGTGTGCTGAGTTGACTTTATTAATTCAGGTCATTTATCCACTCCTAGCCTTGAGTTTCTCATCTGTGGAATGGCACTCCTTCACAAGCTTGTGTTCCTGCGTAAATGAGATAGCCCTTTGCAGAACACTGTTGTGGTACCACTCACATGACAAACAACCTATGAATCCTTGTCATCGTTAAAGTCACCATCTCTTCTCTTGGTTGGTCCATCTAATACACCTCCACAGGCTGCCACTTCCAATGAGATGCTTGGATGTCCACAAGGGAAGGCTGCTTTCAGAATGGCAAGACACAATAATGCCACTTCACCTCCCTTCCTTTACCTTCTAAGAATTAACACGTCTCAGGTGATGCTTTTGTCCCTCACTAGATGAGGTCAATGGAGAGCAAGACTTTCCCTTCCAGGGGGCCCATGTGTAACACAAGCTGGCCAGATCCCCAAGCATTATTTGCCTCCTGCAACTTTGAGCTCCATCACTGCCAGCCTGCCTGTTTTAAGCCCTACCATTCTCGGTTTATAACTCAGCTGTAAACATTTATTTGTGCCTGAAGCACATTTCTTTCCTACCCTTTGAAAAAAATCAGAATTTCCAGATGGTATGCAAGTTGGAAAAAATGGCAAAGACTGTTATTCTGTTTAGAAACATGTTTTTCTACACTTGCCCTTTCAGCAAAAACTTCATAATGATTTTTACTCGTTGGCTTAATGCATGGTACTAGGAGCCAGATTCGAGGGGAGGTTGGTAATTCTTCCTCTGGCTCCTGTCACTCAGCCTCTCAATGCACACAGCTCAGAGTTTCAAATGATCACTTCCCTGCATGGGACTTTTCCAAAGTTGGTGATGTTCCCAGAAGGACAAGGGGTCAAACATCACCTTATAGCATAACCATTAGCAAATATGCCTGTAGCTTAAGTCAACGCAGTTCCTGCCATTCTTAGAGTGTTCTTCTACCACTCTTACAGCTGGGTCCCAATTAAATGTGTCACAAGGATGGGTTTCTGACCCTAGCTCTAAGTTGTATAGTTTGTTCTTCCTAGCATCACTCTGGCTTAACATAGGTCCAAATGATTCAATCATTTTTCCAACATGCTGAATTTGCCTTTCGCCTCATTGGCCACTCATTTTCACAGGGTCAGTACACCCAGAGCTCTTCTCCTTCTGGATT